AGGACCTAGAGTAACAAGCCCACTTCCCCCTTAGGAAATTCCATACTATGACATCACAACTCCTATAGATACCCCACGTGCAATTAGTAGAACCATAGGGATTGCAAGTCTCCCAAAGAGCTGATTGTAACTACTTCAATACAGTACTGTAATGTGTAAAAGAGTCTGTGACATTGGAGTGTGGGGAGAGTTGGCAGCCATACCGTCCCCAGTTATAAGGATGGGTCCAGTCATTACTCTTGTGCTTGATATGTGGTATTTACACACACATTACTGTTCTGCTCGAGCATTAGTAACATGCCCCATGTTCCCTATTACTCCCATACCCTAGGTTCCCTCACAATCATCAAAACATAGAGTAGAAGTAGAATAATAGATCCATATTGCCGAATATATGTTCCCAAAGAGTAGAGTGAGTCAACGTTAATGATTGAGGGAGGCCTACACTTGGACCACTAGGCAGCCACACGTGGTGAGGTTGGCACCACGCCTCCACAAGCTAGGACTATCTTCCTTTCTTCTCCCCAATACCCAACACACAAAAACAACACAGACCAAATGCAATACCTCGCTGCGCAAGCGTGAGACGAGGGTTAATGAAGCCGGGTGGAGAATGGAGAGTTACAAAACCCCAGCTGAAGGTTGTAGAATGCCTAATTACACATGCATGGAATAATAATGACAATACAGTCAAAATCCTAAATTGCTCAATATTTCTATGGTAATAGGCAGGATATGACATTATCCTCCATAATGGAGGTGTGCACGTCCATCACTTTTCACAAGGGGGGGGGGGGACTTTACAGGAGTCCCGTAAGCCTGCGCACTGTTAGACTCCTAGACTCCCACATTATCCCAACTTCCCTCTGTTGTTTGTGCCCCAAACTCTTATTGTAGTCTACTATAGCTTGTCCATGAAACAGCCACTGCCAACAAACATGCTATAACCTTATTACCACCTTGGCAACCCTCATTTGTGTACAAAGGATCTGTGTAATGTATGTCTCTCTCGCTATATATACTGCCCCTTCATTTTGCCAGGCATCAACAGCTGCTACTCTGTGTATATACTGTGCATAGTTATTTTGTGTGCTTTCTGTGTTTAGCTTACCTGCCTTCCCAAATCCAAGTCACTTTCGCTTTGTCAAGCACGAAGTCAACAAGTTCGATGGTCAACCTTTCTACAACATACCAACGCACATCGTGGATAGCTATCCATAAACAAGTGGAAAAATCATTTCCTCAAAATTAAGGAGAAGGCTCTAGCCCTCACAGTGAAGGTTACAGTACTTGGTCTGTGTGTATGTTTCCATCTGTCATATCAGCTATTCTCGCACTAGAGGGTTCGAGGCGGCTCATGAGCGATACCAATGTCTTCAGAACTATGCGAACCTGAAAAACATGCTGTTTTCCTGAAACTACTGACTGCGTTCAAAGTGATATGCCGTGAAAACAAGCGAAAAGACCAATATCATTCCTAGACTCCAGTCCTTACTCACTAAGTAACGACCGTACAATTACCTATAGGGGAGGTGAACTGAGGTTATTTCTGGCTCTCATTAAGCCATACAAGGCAGTTATGTCTATAGCACCATAGCTAGATGGCTTAAATCCCTGCTGGAAGTGGCAGGAATTGACACATCTGTGTTTAGTGCCCACTCGTTACAAGGGGCATCGTCCTCAGCAGCTGCAAACTTGGGGATTAAGACTAATGATGTACTGAAGGCTGCGGATTGGAGTTCCGAGTCTGTTTTTCAGAGGTGTTATTACAAACCAACAGAAGATCCCTCGTTTGGGAGAGTGGTGCTCTCTACCACTGATATTAGGCACTGAGTGGTGTCGTCGGGAAGGGAGAGCGGAGCTCTTGATCCTTGAGTAACGAGTAATGGAAGAGCGAAGCTCTCAAAGGGGAAAGCCTAGTAGGCTTGCTACAAACAACACCGTTGATATGAGACCGAGCCTTCCGAAATACAATTCGAGAATGGCTCAGACCACGCAGTGGTTGCAGAGTTGTATGAGGAAGGTGAGGTTGAATATCAACGGTCTCTCCCACCCTCCCTGTAAGGGTGACAGATGAGGAGTATAAGCTGCGTTCAAGTGATATGCCGTGAAAACAAGCGAAAAGGCGAATATCATTCCTAGACTCAAGTCCTTACTCACTAAGTACGACCTCCCCCCTATCAACCATGTCATCTCAGGCCGGTGGAGCCGTGGTGGATGGAAATGACTCACTAGGAGGCTGAAGGCCGAAGAGATTTCCAAATTTGTTGAGACATGTAGTCATATCCCACTGGCCAACTGCTTGTCCCTCTCACTTGGCAAAGTGCTCTATAATATACCTTTAGTGCATAGCTGATTCGAATCGACCAATCAGATTTGTTAGTACGAGGTTCCTGATTTCTCATATGAACCTCGTGAGCTAACAAAAGTAACATGAAAACATGATATGAAACCTTGTTTTTTCTGTTGATTTTCAACAAGTTCAACAGCATTTCATGTAGGAAATGTATCCCGCAAAACATGATCTGTACAAAATGTTGATCAAAATAACTGATATCTTGATTTTATTTTTCCACAAGACAGTTTTTGTGTCTGCTTTGAGCCCATCTCCCTCCTTGCCATAGCCAGGCAGCTCACGCCCGCCCACAAACCACCGCACGCAAATAAGGGGGTGGGGCTCCGCGAGCGAGTGCGCGCGACAAAGCTACTAAGTCGAGTCTACGGCGAACGCCTTCTATATAGCAGCCCGCACAGCGCCTGAATTCTCCACAGTCTCGCCTCTCTCTGATTGCGATGGTTCGCGCAGGTCTCCTGTCGCGTTTCTTCGGGAGGACAGTCCCACAGCGGGAGTAGCTAGAGCGGCGGAGCAGCGTATCCTAGCGTTCGGCGTTCAATAGTCCCGCACGAGATGACGGTCTTGCGCTCTCGTCTCTTTCTCGCATCTTCCTCTGCTTGGAAACGCGGCTGTGCTCTGCACTAAACATGTTATGTACTCCGTATACTCGGGACATACCGGATTTCAATGAACCCTCATCCCCTCCGCGTAGTGTCCTCGCTGCGCTCGGGACACTACAAACGCGGAGGCCCTCGGGTTCATTGAAATCCGGTATGTCCTCGCACGTAGTACATAACATATATTTCTGTCTGCCACGGATTCCCCAGACTCTCGAGGTTAACAAACATCCGAATCCGACTTGTACTGAACTGTGCTGATCTGGAATCGGAGACCTCCAGGTTCCGGAACGCTACGTCGGACGACATGTGCAAACTTTGTGGCTACAATCCTGAGAGCGACAGCTATTCACTTCGTTGCCCAGTGTCCCGCCCTATCATCTGTGCGAGACTCCTTCTCGCCCCGCTGTCTCATCTTTCTAATATCCTCTGACTCTCAACTATTCGTTGACTACGTCCTTGGTACGGAGTGGGTTGACAACCCCCAGCTTCAAACAGAGGTTATATATAGAGGCTAAAGTATTCTAGTAGACTACGCAGTCTGGCTTCAATGCAAAGCAGGTGCTGAGTTAGCAGTAATTAGCGATGCGACGTTAGCGGCCATGAACACCATTCTCCGTAAAGTGCGTGACTGATCGGTGTAAGTTTCATCATGATCTTTTACCCTCACCAGTAAAGCTTTAAGTCAGTTTACTGAAGAAAAATAATGACATAAAGTATGAAATACCGTAGCTATGTGCAAATTCTCGTGAAACGATTCCATGAGCGCGAGTTATTGAGGGCTGGGCATATGAAGGACATTCAAAGAAAGATGGAATGCCTTGGAAGGCTCTGTAACTTGTATGGAGTGAGTTTGTAAGTGTTTCATACGCAGGTCACTTGAGATTTCATCTGTCTCATCCCTACATTGAGCGTCTACCCTTGTTCCTTTCATTCTCCTGTTTAGAGCCATCCCTATATTCATCTTTTGGGAACTTTGTAGGAACAGGCAGCAATATATAACCGAATTCTAGGTGAAAGATAACAAAAAAGAGGTCTAGTTATAAATGATAGTCACAGCAATAACACATCAGTGTAACACATCAGTGTTCAAAAATGGTTATTTTTTAATGATGGTTAACCTAGTCTTCTTGGCAACAGGAAATGTTTGTAATGGGGGCTGTTGTACACGCCGTAATAATTATTTTATACCTGTAAAATACGCGAAAAACTCAAGTAAAAACTGTGTAGCTTGTTGTGGGCTGTTTGGAGCCTGCATGAGGCAGTCTTGCATCTGAGACTAGAGAGAGAAACATGTCTTTTTTGACCCCTTGGTTTGCTGGCGCGCCTGACGCCTAAGTGCAGAGAACTTTGCCTACAACTTCTGATCAGTCAGCAGCAGCAAAGTGCACCCGAAATGCTATGAAACACATCTTCAGTTGGATCACTCCCACTCACCAGAAATACAAAGCCTTCACATGCTACAGTGTTGGTCACTGGGAAATGAAGGTTAACAACATGTTTAATAATATGACACCCAAGCAATGATTTCCAAGCACCCTTAGTAAACAATCCCACTGTCCCATCTGTTGTAGTATTCTTGTTTGGGTAGTACTGTTGGGTAGCCCCTTCTTCCTTCAGTGCATTGTTGTCACACCCACATCCCTAGCTCTCTCTTCTACCTCTTTATATTATACTTCTTGTTAATTGAGCTTTATTATACTTTCATAATAATTATAATGCTTCTTCTGAGCATGTTTTGTTGACTTCAGAGCTAGTATACATATACTCATGGAGTTAAAAACTTAGCATGGTTTTCAATTCCATACCCCTTCAGAATTAACACTGTCATGAGTATCTTCTTTGGACAGTGTGCCCTAACCATAAAGCCCAAGCACAATTAATAGCAAGCCTATTTCACATGTAAACCATCAAAGGAGGGACAATGGAATGAGAAGTTATGATAGCAGGGGAGAAGCATCGTTGATATACCAACCTGCCAGCTATAGTAATATCCCACACTTGCACTCCAGGAATGCAAGTGTGGGAGATTACTACCACACATAATCCCTTTTACTTGACGACCCCACCCTTTACTTTTCGGCTTTAGCTTTTTGGTAACTCAGTGGGTAGAGCACCTTGCTTTGACTGCAGAGTGTCAATTCCCTTCCAAGGCCGCTCTTTTTTTAATTATAGTATAGTCTTTGGTGTATATTTCCCTTTGCTTTGCCTTGCTAGGCAGACTGTAGAGTACGTCTATCCCAGTCCTCGCCTATTACCATTATTGTTATTGAGATCAGAGCAAACTCATAATATTTATACAATTTCAACCTGTTGGCTTTCTCCCCCTGGTTGGGGTTGATGACTTGAGCCCCTTCTGCTTCCATCAGTGCATAGATGTCCCGCCCATTTTCCTGTCTATACTTGCTCTTCACTTCTCGTTAATGGAGCTGGACACTTTTTTGTTACAGTCCGTCAACTTCTGCAGGGACTAGATCTAGACTATATGCCAGCCCGGGGATTTGAGCTTTGCAAGGACACCAGATCTCCATTTTGCAGTATATGAGTGATACTTTCACTACTCAGTCAACACTACCATTGATTGTTCCCATTTCCCATACTCTGTATGGCTCATGAAGGGGATGGGCCAGCTTCCTTGCTCCACCGCAAGTTTTTTGTAAAGGAAAACTCGTTCACCTTTGTGTAGTTGCAGAAAAGTCATAATGATCGCAATGCTTCCTCTCAGCTTGTTTCACTGACTTCCGAGTTAGTTTCCATGCAGCTGACAACTTAGCATGGAGTTCGATTTCATTCTCCTTCAACTTACAAAAGACACATGCGAAAGTTGAAGGAGTATGAAACCGAACTCCATGCTATGGTGTCAGCTGCATGGGAGCTAACTCGGAAGTCAGTGAAAGTGGGAGGGGGGAGTGGAATGTGAAAGTTGACTTCGCTCCTGGTTTTTTGTGTAAAAAGGCACTTCTTTGCCTTGCCTGAATGGAACAATGCAGTCATAATTACTGCACTGCTTCCTCCGAGCTTGATTAACTGATTTAAGAGCTAAGCTCCATGCAGCTTTCCTCTCGCTTGGTAGGGCGGAGCCAAGGGGTGGCAAGTTTATAGTTATGTTCTATTGGGAGAAGAATTCGAGTAATAATGGGCTTTGAAGTGGTGAATATTGGCCGCAAACTAATCACAACACGTGGCATATGGCTCGAGGGGGTGCATGACGTTGTGATATCGTTAGTTGTAGGCAATCACTTAAGACTCCCCTTTTAGGCATGCATGATAGGGCCATGTTTTGGTGTGAGGACCATCAGAAGCGAGAAGAATTAAAAAGCACATTTCAGATGATCGTAGTCACATTCCTTTCTGAATTGTATTGAAAAACACTTTAGTGTAAACCCCCGGCGCATTAGAAACGCATGCACATAAGTATACACACCTCGTTCCCCTTGTGAATATGTTTGTAGAGAAGGTTCAGTACAGTTGAACCACCAAGAACTCATGTGAATGACCCCTACACACTTTGTTTTCTCCGCATGCATGATAGCGCTTATTGATGGACTGGGCTATTCTTTACTCGTGGTGTATTTCCAGCTCACTGAGAGTCTGTGCCACACTTCTAGATAGCATGCAAAGGTCGACACTCGCCTTGCAACTTCTGGTGTCTCCAATATACGTACGGCAGAGCAATCACTGTAAACCTGTCCTAATTTGCATACTGGCTTTTCACTTCCATATTTTACGAGCAAGCCAGTGTAGCACTAGACCTTTTGGTATCATTCTTTCATTATCTCATTGTGTGTGGTGGCAAAAATGTGGCAACAGATGGACTCACAGGCAGACAGGCAACAGACAGAAGTACTGCAACCCTCGTTGCACATGTGTATCGAGGGCTTATTAACCGAAAAATGATGTAAGATGTGTTCGCTGCAGCCAGCTAAGGAACTTATGTCTATTAGCTATGTTTTTCTATGCCGAGCCAATGCTAGAGTTATGGCAGGATGAACCTGATACAACACAATTACTGTCAACAGAGACCGTTGATGGAAGTGTTCTCTGAAGACACATGGGTGCGCCCTATAAATAAGCTAGGCTCTTCACCGGAGGTATACATGTTGTCGTAGATGCACTTTCTCTTGTAGGCTCACTCTGCTTACTAAATGGTTTGCATTCACCTCCTAGTAACTATATTCACGCTTGAAAGTGCTCCAGAGTACCAGAAGGGAATGAACCGTACTTCCACGCACCCTGTATGCTTTTTATGATTTATGTCTTATCAGAACCTTCACGATGTTGGACAACAGAAACAGCAATTAATTTTATTCTCTGCCACTTTGTATTAGGCGAAGTATAGTCACAGAATCATGCTTTCATCTCTATGACACCCTGCTAGGAATGTTGTTCCATTGGTCACGTTTTGACGAACTATACAATTCTCTGATACAGTACTTGCATGTTAGACAAGGCAGCATGCCAATCATGTCCAAATTCAGACCTAACCTACAAATCCATGGGCTTTTCAGTTTTAGTCAAGAAAATATTATCAAATATTGGACAGCCTTTGAACACTGACTAATATTTTAACTCCCTGGAGTTCCAAACCTCAAAACAACCACAATGACCAACATCAAACATCACATTCTGCAGTTCTAGAAGGGAGATACTCAAATCATTACAAATATATAACTTTGTACAGGTCACTAAATCGTTTATACTATTCTTATGGACATAGTGAGAATTCTAGTGAGAGAATGAAAAGGATGTCCGATTTTTGAGATTCGTGCAGGGGTGTGGGAACGACTCTACCATAATCCAGGTTCCTTGCAATAATTACGTGAAGGGGATATAGGGATGGCTCAAAACATAAAAAAAGAAAGAACCAGGGGTCATTATACAGCTAAGACACACAAAGCTACATAATCATCTGTGGTTGTTGTATGCACGGCATATCCTATGCACCGGTTTGTGCGTTTTTTGTGAGCGAAGCGAGCTCAGGCATCTGAATGCGGAAGTCGGTGAGAATGACTCCCTATGCCTTCAAAACACACACAATAGTCTACGGGCCCATATCTACCTATACATGTTCCGAAACACCTCATGCACACCTTCGGATTTTCGTGTCACCATAATAATAACTATACTTGATCTTCATCTTCTTCTTCTTCTTCGTCTTTAAACCCGCTATGTCCTTACCAGTACCAGTTGAAGTGCTGATTTTTCACTGAAAGTCTCCAATTTCGCAGGAGGTGTGCACAGACGTCAAGCGATCGTTTCTTTCTTGCCGCAAGTCACTACGGTAGATGATGTAACTCTTGCATGGTCGACACTGAACAACACCATTTGCTGCTAACTCAGCCTCCAGTGCCTTCTGTAGGTAACTATGCACATTTCCAACTGGATAGCTTGCTGTTGATTTCCACGAGGAGCAACTTCGCGCAGAGTCTACGCGGTGTTACGAGAGCCTTGTGGGGCGCTCAAATAGGCCGTCATTGTTTGTCCCCCTGGTTGTACCAAAGCCTGCCCATGAAACCACAACGATGTGCAATAACCTCGTTACATCCTTGTTGAAGACAGTACATGAGGTGAATGATGTGTCTAGCCCCTGCTTCAAGCACTAGCAGCCCACTAAACTACTGCTTTCAACAATTAGAATTTGTCAATGGTATATAGCCTATCTAAAACATACCCATGAACATCAGAGTGACTGTAATAATGAAATACAGGGGTCATTGCACAGCAAAGATGCACAAAGCTGCATGACACCATCCCTATATCTTTGTTTTATTGTTTATAAGCAAAGTTTCATAATGTTTGAAGAAATGATTATTCAACTTGTATATGTAACGACCAACGGACCAACATACTGTAATGTTTACGTGATTCTAAATACACACTAAAAACGTGAGAAATATTGAAATGCTCACACCGCGTAATCCATAAGCGCAAACCACGCGCAGAGTTTTATTTGTTTCTCTAGCTCTAATATTGTTGTCTTTCCTTACACAGAGTTGCCAGCTATGATATTAAAATATTATATTACTGTGCTGATAATTGCTCTAACTGTGCCCTCAATTAAGGGCCAGAGTTACATCTGTGATGATACACCTGAGAATAACAATGGTGAATGTGAATGTAGCGCTGATGTTTGCTATTTTAAGTTTGTTATTGAGCACCTACAAACATTGACAGCATATGAAAAGAATGCTACAATGGGATCACCAGGTAGAGTGTACTACCTTGATAACCACAATCTTAAACCAGCAACGAAAAACAGAATGGTATGTGAAGATTTGAGCGAATGCACAGAGACACACACAGTCGATGGGAGCACATACCGATCATTCTTTGCCATTAACAAGAGAATACCTGGCCCAACACTCATAGTCAATAATGGAGCAACAGTTGTGGTTGATGTATTTAACTTTCTCGTCACTGAAGAGACCTCGATCCATTGGCATGGTATGCACCAGAGGAAGACTCCCTGGATGGATGGTGTGGGCTATATCTCCCAGTGCCCTATTGAAGCTGGAGGATCGTTTCGGTACATATTTAAAGCAGAACCAGCCGGCACATTTTGGTACCATTCTCACAGTGGTGCACAGCGAACTGACGGTCTATTTGGTGCTCTGATAGTGAGGGAGAGCGAAATTCCCATTCCACTTCCTGCTTTTGAGGATATCCCAGGTAATCATACATTAACCCTTCTTGACTGGCAGAGAGAGGCGTCCTTGAACCTGTTTGTCCAAATACATTCATCGCTGGGTTATTTTGAAAATGTAAATGTTGACCAAGTGCCAACAGCTGCAAACACACTCTATGTACCATCGTGTTCAGCTGATGGAGCTGAGATTGGTCCCATTCCATACTGGTCTGGAATCATTAACGGAAAAGGAAAGTACAAAAAGATTTCTTTTTCAAACATCGATCTCTCTACCTTTAACGTCGAGAGTGGCAAAACATATCGTTTTCGTTTGATTGGTGCTCAGGGAAACTATGCGTACAAGTTTTCAGTTGACAATCACAATCTGACACTTATTGCGACAGATGGCTATTTTATTGTGCCAGTTGTAGTCGATTATATAATTGTTCACACTGGAGAGCGTTACGATTTCCTCCTTTCAGCTAGCCATGCAACCAAAACAAACTTTTTAATGAGAGCTGAGACACTTGAAGTTAACTGTGCAACTTTAGTCAGGGGTAGCAACCTTCAGTACAACGACGCTATTGCTGTGCTTACTTATGATAAAAGTAGGGTCGATTACGCAGCAATTTCTAATGAATATACATCTGGAAAAAAGACTTGCAACACGCAGCATGTTTGCAAAGTTGCAAACTGCCCATTCAAAAACTATATTCCTAGTAGTGGTTTTGATTGCTCAAACCTGCATGTTCAAGAACTTACACTTTTGGTTCCGCCACCAGAAAATCAACTTCCAAAACCAAGTGAAGTTACTATGGAATCAACATGGTTTTTCAACTTTGGCTTTGACAGCACTGCCTTTACGAGCACTGTTAATGGTCGCAACTTCATTCTTCCTACCATGTCACTGCAAACACAAGGCGACGGAGGTATAAAATCAGAATTGTGTAAAGATCTAAGTGACAGATGTCAACCAGACGAAGATGATTGTGAATGTGTCCACATGATTAGCATTGGTAGTAATCTCTCACAACGAACAGTTCGCTTTGTCTTTTCATCTCTAAACACTACCAGAGATTACTCATTTGCACATCCTATTCACTTGCATGGCCACAGCTTCCATGTTGTGAAGGTAGGGTATGGAAGCTATTATTCAAATGGCTCGCTCAAAGACTCAACCAAAGACCTTACATGTGGCGTGCCATGCCTCAAGGCTCCAACTTGGACAGATGGGATCACACCTTACATTCCAATAACAAATAAGACTATTCAAAAAGACACTGTTATTGTCCCTGCTGGTGGCTATGTTGTAGTTGACTTTATTGCCGACAATCCGGGTTACTGGTTCCTCCACTGCCATATTGAACCTCACCAACTAGAAGGGATGGCACTGGTTATCAATGAGTTAGAATCCAGCAAAATCCTCATCCGTCAGGTATGCATACTTGTGGGAATTTTAACTGGACAGTAGAGGAGTTCAATAAGAACCTTCACTTCAAACCAGGAAGTAAAAAGAAAAGTGGGTTATCATATACGGGTGCTATACTCATCTCCATTTTTTACCGCTTGTTTTTGGATTTTCCTGTGGATACTTAATTGGTTCTTGCTGCTTCGGCAGATGCAAAAGAAAGAAGGGAGGTTATATAGATATGGAACAGACCTGATACCAGACAAAATTTTGAACCATATTTAGACCAGACTGCATTTAGTAGTGTGAACATAATCATGTTTTTGGTGCATGTATTACTTTCCCAAGTATGATGTGTAAATTAATCCAAAACTGTAATCAGTGCTTTTCCTCACAAGATGGTGCAATGCTGCTATCTGTTTTAAGACAAAGAACCAAAATACTCAAGTAGATAACACCTGATGGAGGTATCTAGGCAGTCTCCATACGTATTATTTTGAGTTAGCTACCTACCCTCACTTCCTCTTATATACTTCCCACACAAACTCAAGTGGCTGTTGTTAATGTCACCTGCCAATACCACAATCTGTAGATTGTGAGACCTGCAATTACTTTTGGCTTACTCAGGGTTGAGAACTGCATATCCATATAATATGTGCCAGAGCTTGAGGCGAAACCCCAATAAAAAGAGATACTATTTTAGTCCACATGTTCCTTCAATTGCTAGTGTGTGCTGAAGCTAGCCACTGCTAAGACAAGGGTCATAGTAGATAGTAAACGAAGCAGTATGAGTCATTAGGGGGGCTGAATGAAGATGCCCCAGTTAGGGAGCTAATTAAAAGCTGAGCACCAACAGAAGCTATTAATTGTCAATTGTCTGTGTTATAGCAGTTCATGCAGTGTATTTCACAAGCCTACTAGATTAGTATTGAGCCATGAGTGTTTCAGGTTCGTTGCATTACAATTGCACTGCTGCTGCTACTATTATGTTCATGAGTGGTGAATAAGTGGTCTATACTCTGTTACCGCTATTGTGCCCAGTATACTCCTGAGAGCGCAGATAGATGCTGAGCTGGATTGTGATATCACCCCTAGAGATAATTATACTTCCAGTGAGGTTGTTGGCTCTAGCAGAAATAGAGTGGTAGCTATCGGGTGATGCGGATAGGAAACTGACAGTGTGGGAATGGAGAACCACTAGGATCATGGAAGATCATCAGTTGTGGGTGGGATGGAAAGACATATTTCTGGGACTGACTCACTTCCTTCAGGTATTCACAAACAATAGATCTATGGTAGGTAGAGGTGAGGGACAAAATGAAATTCCTGTTGGGGAAAATCAGAATTGGAGGAATAGAGCTACATCAGTAAATTATCTATTAGTAGACATTATCTACTATCCTGAAAGATCTACTGGCACTGGATGGCTTGTTATTAGCCACAGTATATACAGTTGTAGAGCCCAGGCAGTCTTCCTGTTACAGTCAGAGTGTGGGTGTACTGTGCAGTCACAGTCTGGGTTCCTTGGGTGACAGTGGTGGAATTTCTGGTCCAAGTGAGAGTGGTAGCTGGTTCACCAGTGGAGCTACAGGTGAGGGTTAACTGAGGACAGGCTCCATTGAGATCTGAAACCTCAAGTAGACTATATCTCCTGGTATCGCAACATCTCCTATAATAACAATCATAATGATTAGCTCTGTCCTTCATACTGTACACTATCATGGTATGAGGTGTTTCAACTCACAAAGCCCAGCATGAAAATAACAATGCGGTAGTTACCTCCCCTAGCAGTATACAGTCCCACATAGACTGGTGCATCTCTCACTGAGATGTGAGTATCATCATGGACAGCAATAGTTGGTATTTCACAGCAATAGATACCAGTTGGTGAGGTAGCATCACTGATATGACGACATATGTCAACTCCCTGTGGTACATGAGTCTCATAGGTATCAACATCAGGTGCAGCGAATGGCAGTCTAGTTCCATTAGGGAAATACCAGTCTCCACGATGAGCACCATCAATACGACTACAACATGATGTGGCCAGGTCAGTGACACACTGAACACCTTCACCATCACCAAAGTCAGATCTCCCCACCGCTGACATCCACATAGGAATTGTTGGCCAGATTCTGGCCCATGAAGGAGACGTAAGGAAAAGTCTGTTGAGAGTGGACCTCCACCAAACACCAGAGGAGACTCAGCAGTAACATCCGCATACTCATGCAATTGTCTTTCTCTCTCACCTTCTGGATTTCAATATTATAATATTGTGTCGAAGCTATAGCTATAATAACACTCAACTGGGTTATACGTACATTTTGAGCAGTAAATGACGACTCTGGATCAACACACAAGCCATGTGCAAGTGCAAACCAAATAGCTATAATTATAGCAGGTGAATCACTGTTGTTCATGTACAAAAATCGTAGATGAATGTTTTATGTAAAGGGTTTATCACTTTTACCTGTAGGTTGAAAGTACGCAAAGAATGCTAACTTATATCTTCCCACAAACATGTGGCAAACACCATCTGCTGAAGTGCTGAAGAAAGCATGCTGCAGTTGAGTTCTAACCCATCACTTCCTCTCTCCTCCCCTCCCTTGTTTTTCAGTATGGTGGCATCATTTGGAAACTGAACCACTATATAGGATTATGACCAGGTTCAAGGCACACGACTCTGTTTGCCTGAGACTAGATCGAAATATTTTCTGTCATTATCGACTCTTGTTTATTGCTCAGAAGGTTTTAAAGGATGGTCTAAGGAACCTGGGGATTTTTCAGTGAACTTTTTGCTGCCTGAGAAAAGTTTGTGACCAATCCTGCTTCTAAACAAGTTACTTTCGACCTCTAAGGTGCTATTCGATTAATGTGTTCCGATTGCATTACTTTATGTAACCCTTCTGAGCATCTGCTTGTAATCTGAAAAGGATTGTGTGAGTAGCTATGCAAAAGAGTCAACAATTTGCTAATTAAACAGCATATAGCTAATGGAGTTTCTGACTCTCGGGGACTGTTTGATCCTGTTATACTAGCCTCCTAGCTGAATCACACCTTCTAGCTACCCAGTCACTCACTGTCTCGAATAGAAAGCAATGTGACAAAATGTTGACAGTCTTGGACAGAATTACAATGCTGGGGGACACTTGTCATCCCTATACTAGTACCACTGTACTTAGTGATATACTCCCTGTCATAGCCTAGCTACAGGGTGTATAGCTATTTGAAAGCTCCTTGTTAGTAGATTCCAGATATCCAATCATCTGCACCCAAACCATTCTGGAGTTCAGGGAAGATGCTCGTGGGCAAAGAAGATGGATGCCATAATACATAGCTTTATGCTAGTAACTGTGTAGAGTAGAGCCTTACTGTTAGTATTATTATATCACTTATGGATATTTATGGTAGGTCACGATGAGTACATGTTTACGCAAACAGAGGGGTTGCTCCCTTGCTTCCTGGGGTTGGAAGCGCACATCGCCAAATTATTATCTTCGATCCCGAAGTCCGTAGACAGCATTTCGCTCGAGGAGAGAGGACGTCGTTCGAGGTTGCCATGTCGGATGTGATATTTACCAAATTCAGAGTCAAAACCCCCAGCCACGGGATTGATCTGTCCAACTTGATGTTGTCTGACTGGCCGCCATTGCGAAGTAGCTTGACGATCTGCTCCACACACGATAGTGCCAGACTTGGGAAACGTGACGATAAAAGGTCGTCTGGTTCCACTGGTTAGTTGTGCTCAACAACTTTAATACTCACCTTCATTCCTCCACGCGAAAATTCGCTCATATGCGATTTCGTTTTCGTTTCCTCAAACGACACGAAAATCGTGCCGATACTATTATATACAATTACAGTGGAACCCCTCTAAGGCGGACAACTTAGAGCCACAACATTTTGTCAATTATAGCGGGGTGTCCTTTATGGAGGGGTTTTGCCTGATTATACTGCATTACACAATTCTATGTCACTAATTCACTGTTAACACCATGCACATGCTATATTATATTGTACCTTAAGTCTTGTACCCAGCCGCTACACCCACAGGGGGCTATTGACTCAAAACCCGGTGTCAAGTGAAAATGCACACCCCTAAATATAAGCACCCGGGGTACCCATTTTCATGGAATTATTGGTACCCGGGTGCCTATTTTCACGGAATTTTAGCTACCCGGGTGTCCATATTTATAATAAATATAGGCACCCCCTTGTGAAAAAAGGCACCCCTTGCATGCTATAAGAATTTGCTATATAGACTTGAAGATTATCTCTACAGCATATTATTATATAGCTACTTACAATAGTAAAAAAGATGAATAATGTGCAACAAAATTTGTAAGCAAGATGAATAATGTGCAGAGAAAAACAAGAACAATATTTTTACAACAGTGAGCAAGAAGTACATAGCCAAGAAAAAGATTGTTCAACAAATGCAGCATCAGGAATGTTCATGCATTTCTGGTGAAACCAGTTTCTGCATCCGTCACACTGTGCAAGGCTACCATACAAGTTGATATCCTTGTCCCATGGCAAGTGGCACATGCAATATACTTGGATTGTTTTGATGGACTTGATGCTGCTAGTACAGCGTCTTGGCTTCTTTGATGCTGGGAACTCGCTATGTTCACCTTTCTCCAAACACTGGTACAGATGCCTTCTCATCTGACCCTGGTCGAAGGAACATTTGTGTGGGTCTTTTCCCGCACACAAAGCAACAGCAAAGGCTATGGCAAATAGGCCACAATCAGATGATCCTGCTTGCATCTGTACATTGATGTACCTCATTCTAAATGATGGCTCGGAACATTTCATCATTGCTGCAACCTGCCTGATGAGAGTAGGTGAGTGGGAGGCTGGCATGCTGTCATATATGTCACAAACTCGGGTGCACTGTGCACATTCGATGTACACACCCACTGATGTGTACCACTTGAACAAAGTCTACATTATTCGACTTCCATTGCAGCTTCTTCGCCAGGGGTTGTGTTGACTGGAGACCATTCTGCTGAGGGTACTTCTTATTTAACAGCTTTGAAGCAGCAAAAATGTGACTGTCATTTAGCCAAAGTCCCCCAACAAGACGCTCTTTGTCCTCCTCCATCAACTCAAGTGATTTAATCCAGTATCGAACTTCTTCTTGCTGCAGTCTCTCCAAGTCAATAGCATTTTCTGAGTGTGTACCCTTCTTCAGCTCAGCCTACATGCAGAGTAATAATAGTAATAATACTCAGTAGCCATCACGCCATCAACCACGCACTCATTACTACAAGCGGAGCCACATACATGCACACCAATAGAAGATGGTTTACCTTTTGTTTCAACCTGGTTGGAGGCTCAGTCTTCAGTGAGTGATCTTCATCATTTTTGTTGTTTGGAGACAGATTCTCCTTGTCAAACGAGTCTGCCACAAGATTATCACCCTATAGGAAAAATAGAAAATATTAGGATAGAGTAATGACACACTAAGAGTTTCTTAACAATGTTAGGTACCTATTTAGAATGTGACTTGATTGCAGGTTCAGTTTTCTTTTATAGGAAGTGCAGTAGAGTTAACCCGTACTGCAAGAGCTGGCAGTAAATTTTACCCGTACCGCGAAAGATGGCGTTTTACCCGTTCTGCGAAAGATGGCGTTTTACCCGTTCCGCGCGCACGGGGATCCCCAATTCCACGACGGGGTTACGTGAATATGGGAACCCAGGGTGCCCGTATTTGTGGAGTGTGTAAATTTTTATGACGCCGGTCGTAAAAAGTCATATCCAAACCGCTCGTCTAGTATGTGATCCCAGGGGCGGATTCAGCATATTACGATAACTGGGGGTTGTAAGCGCATGCGCAGGTAGGGCGGGGGCGCGGTTAGCGTATATACGCTACTCGGGTGCTTCTCTGTTTCGGATGTTACAGAGTAACAGCGCGTGAACGTTTGGGGGGCGCTGTTTGCCCGGTGGCGGTGCGCTAAACCTACTTAGAGTGAGCTAGGTTCGAATTGACCAATCAGATTTTGCAAAGGCGAGGTTTACTAAACCCCATAGTAAACCTCGATGGGGTTTACTTAATTAATAGTAAACCAACAGAAACTACAAAACCTACATGTAAAACATAACAAAATGTACATTTAAACAATAAAATCAACAACTGAACCTACTTAGAGTGAGTTAGGTTCGAATTGACCAATCAGATTTTGCAAAGGCGAGGTTTACTAAACCCCGTAGTAAACCTCGACGTGGTTTACTAAATAGTAAACCTACAGAAACTACAAAACCTACATGTAAAACATAACAAAACGTACATGTAAACAACAAAATCAACAACTTAATGATACGACGTCCACGCGCACGCGCAGATCCACCTGCGCGCAGAAACGTCACGCGCACAACCAGAAAAAGAAGGCGGAGTCGCTACCGCGTGTCCTCGGCCGCTTCGCTCTTCTTCCACTGCATTTTCTGGCGCTCTGAGCCAGTCTCCATACAGTCATCGTTAGAAGCGCTCCGCCATACGAACGAACAGGAAAGTCAGAGCGCTCAACGTGAAGCGATCACTCGCTCGGTAACCACGCGCCTGTAGAAAGCCTCGTGCCCCGGGGGTAGCGCCCTCGCTGCGCTAGGGGCGCCACAATGCCGGGGCTCTCGGCTTTCTACTGCGCCTAGTTATCTGGAACATCAGCGTCTAACTATTATATAATCATCTGGGTCCGCCCCTGGATCCATACTGGTCCCCGCCGACCAAAGTCCGCGGACTACGGATGCACGTGACATTAATTGTCCGTTCTTAGCCGATTGGAGATGTCTTACATCTTTGCACGTGTAGCGACCAGCCATCTCATCTCAGTTGGTGGTGGTCAGAGTGTCAGGGACAGAGGCACCAACAACACCAATGGAACTACCAAATGAGGGAGCTTGTTGTTGTACAGGTGGTGCAGTGCTCAAACAAAAACATTGTTCTAGCTTCCATCATCATGTTTATAGCTTAGAAATAATTATTGTTTTAACGGTCATGCGTTTGTTTAACGATATATACGTTCACCTCCCAAACCATCACTATCCAAGCCCCTAATTGTCAACAGACAACCACAACAGCACCAACAGTTAGAGCTGGCTCAGGCGGTGGTCAGTTTCCAGGGGCACCAACAGCCACCAATGGAACTACCAGATGAGAGAGCTGGATTACTGCATACTTTACGATTCTATAAGTTCAACTCAAAGTACGCATAACAGGCTTTTTGTAGTAATACCAACATAAAAACAATTGGATCACTCGCTCCCCATATAATGCTAAAGTATTCATATATGGACACTGTCACAGAGGTCGCATTGCAACTGCATCCTGCATTCCATAGGAAGCACTGCCAATGCCAGGGTAAAATGATAATTGCTTTGTATATTATAAATAAACTGAAACCTGGCAAGTTTAAGGATTATTAATTCCCACCAAGAATGCACACTTACAAATTATCCTTCCGTCACTCATTATTATGAAACGTATCATCATTGTTACACGAAAATTGCCGCATTGAAAGTGTTCCCCCTCAGCCAACAGTTTTCACTTCCGCTCATATGAAGAAGTACATGTTAATGCACGGACTGTTCTTTCCTTGGGCATGAAGCACAAACACTCAGCTAAAAATGCATAACCTGAAACCCCCCTCACTAAACTGTGGGACTCAGCCAACAAAATCAGCTCAACCCAAACACTAAACAAACTTTCTTTAACTTGGGCCTTTGTCTTGCTGTGCAGTTTCTTCAGTTTGCCCACGTGGAGAACAACATTGTCTAGGCACCTGATTTGACCTCTGTACTCTGGCCCAACCATACCTTTTACTTGTTTTGAATCTGTGGCTAAGAAGATAGGAACTTCATTGCCAAAGTGTTGAGTGGCATACCGATAGGCACAGGATATTGACTCGCTCCATTGCCGGGGTTTTGTGTACACGTTGGGATGCTGCTCCCAGCCTTCAAATCCTGTCCTCACATGTAGCCCCACATATCTTGTGTGTTCAAGTCCTAGCACTCTGCGAGCGGCCCTCACCTCTTGCAAGAGATAAGACGAAAATTTAAAGAGGTATCGGAAAGCCAGTCCAATTAAGTTAATGTTTAAGTCATGTACGTTGTTAAGACTTAGAGAAGCCATGCCATTATTGATCCATTCGTATCCTACTGTGTTTGCAAGGGTACTAGGGGATAGGTTAGTATTCACAGCAACCCATTGTAAACTTTCCTTCTTCGTAGCTTCCAGCAATTTGCGCAAGTTTTTAGCAACTCCATTTATGGACGAACTTTTTGTGTAAAAATGGTGATTGTCTTGCAAGTACGCTTTCTCTCTTTCTTCTTGCATGAGATGCCAGTCAATGGCATTCGGCTCCAGGAATGCCAGCTCACTAAGTCCTTGCTGGGGGCCCCAATCCAGATGCAAAACTCTTCGCGAAAACATGGCTAGCATGAGAGCAAAAGCAATGCCCTTCATCCTGTCAGCGATTCCTCCGCATCCATTTTTGCACACCCACAATAGTCGCTTTGCTGAAGGTTTCTTCCTTTCGAGTGCATGAAACACTGTATAGTTCTTTAGGGCTATCAGGAACTTGGCAAATGTCTTTCCTAGTTTCTCTGTCTCAACGAGAGGGCGACTCTGGCAGGTAACTTGCAGGGCATGCAACGCCTTCAGCACATCATCAACGTCGGCGTCCTTCGCAGTAACTGACAGGAGCATTTTTCTGTGGGGTTCGTTGCCCTCACGATCCACTACATTGCTGCCATTGATAAACGCTCCTCCACACGGCTTCCAACGGAGTGGAGTCGAATCATTTCGTAGTTCCTCAACGGAGGGTAACTCAAGCTCTGAGAAGAAGAGAGAGAGCTTGGGGCGTCCCAAATACACAACGACGATGGTGAAAAGGACAAGCGTTAGAAATAGACGAAACTTATTCGCGTAGAGCCACTGCGGCCTATAGAGCGCCATTTTAAATCAACTATATAGGCGATTATAACCGGGATGGACTGAAGAATTCATTAGCTTATAATTTAACGTGAGGCAACTTCCGGGGTATATACGTTCCTCCGCTATTTTTTCCACGTTTTCTATGCTTGTCTATGGAGATAACACTTTTGCAAGCGCCGTTAGTTAGCTTACTTTGAAACTAGTGCTATTGAACGGTCCATATTGCGTGTGCTAGGGTTGTACGACTTGGGAGATACGCGCTCGGAAAAACGGTGGGTATATACTGCTAGTGAAGTGGCCGTTTCTGTGCCTGACTTACCGTAGCTAAGCTCTGTGTAGGCTAGGAATCTGTCTATGTTGCTATGGCTATATAGAAAGATACGCGCTCGGAAATACGGGGGCCATAACGTCGGGGGATCAACTGGAGTGTACGGACCCAGTGCGTAGCGACTTCCGGCGACTCGCAAATCACTCGCAATCGTCCTTAGCCACTGGCAAGAGTTGCTAGCCATAAACACAAGCCATAGCAACATAGACAGATTCCCAGCCTTCACAGAGCTTAGCAGAACAATGTTCATGGTGATGAAGAATTTCTATTCGTATTGTAAACAGTTCCCACTCATTTTAGCCTATGCTGTTACCATCCACAAATGCCAGGGTCTGTCATTAGACTGTGCCATAGTAGACCTGTCTGAGGAGGTATTCAATGATATAAAGGCCTATGGCTCTATTGAAGGTTAGGTAGTGTGTTCCTAACAGCCTTTGATACCCAGTCGATCAGTGTTAGTTCCCTGGGGGAAGTAAACTGCCTCAGACCTGACCTTCCTACAAAACCTACATGTAAAACATAACAAAATGTACATTTAAACAATAAAATCAACAACTGAACCTACTTAGAGTGAGTTAGGTTCGAATTGACCAATCAGATTTTGCAAAGGCGAGGTTTACTAAACCCCGTAGTAAACCTCGACGTGGTTTACTAAATAGTAAACCTACAGAAACTACAAAACCTACATGTAAAACATAACAAAACGTACATGTAAACAACAAAATCAACAACTTAATGATACGACGTCCACGCGCACGCGCAGACCCACCTGCGCGCGCAGAAACGTCACGCGCACAACCAGAAAAAGAAGGCGGAGTCGGCCGCTTCGCTCTTATTCCACTGCATTTTCTGGCGCTCTGAGCCAGTCTCCATACAGTCATCGTTAGAAGCGCTCCGCCATACGAACGAACAGGAAAGTCAGAGCGCTCAACGTGAAGCGATCACTCGCTCGGTAACCACGCGCCTGTAGAAAGCCTCGTGCCCCGGGGGTAGCGCCCTCGCTGCGCTAGGGGCGCCACAATGCCGGGGCTCTCGGCTTTCTACTGCGCCTAGTTATCTGGAACATCAGCGTCTAACTATTATATAATCATCTGGGTCCGCCCCTGGATCCATACTGGTCCCCGCCGATCAGTGTTAGTTCCCTGGGGGAAGTAAACTGCCTCAGACCTGACCTTCCTACAAAACCTACATGTAAAACCTGACCTTCCTCCCTATGATATACCACAATGTCTCTAGAAGAAAGAGGAAGCTCACTGGTGTAGATAAAACTGTGTTCCCAAGTGCAAAAAAGGTCAAGGTCAGTCCCACAGATAATTAGGAATGTTATCACAGGTACAGAAACACCTGCTGCTATATACTCAATTTCCACTATGTAGATGTAGAGTGGCAGCAAAGTGCATGTCAAGAGCTGGGCGGTACACAAACACCAGTAAGACCAGGTGGACCCACTGTCCCTGTCACATGTCCAGACATGCGTAGTGTGAGACGCGGTAACTGCCTCTTTCGGACATTCTCTTACGTTCTGATTGGGTCTGAGGATCAGCATATGGGTGTACGACATGCTATCCTTGACCCCATGACAAATAATTCTCAATATTTCCTAGGCCACCATCTCATAAGCTATGACAGTGTTCAAAGTTTTATAGCTTCGACAGGTATGGACCCCAGATGGGACCTGGGGAACTGACATTGAGTTGGCACACCTGCTCCAGACCCTTGTCTTCTCATACAGCCGGCAGTATGGGCAGTATGGGCAGTATGGGCAGTGGCAGCGGTACTCTCCTCATGATGTAGACAGACATTTGACGGATGATAATCACCAGATGTCTACATATCTATTGCACACAGGAAGCCACCTCAATGTTGTTGTTTCCATAAGGAAGAATCAAAGTGACCACATATGCCTATACATGCACTCTCTGAGCATATTGGGGAAGGAGAGGGTGGGTCCCTGCAGCAATTTAGTTGAGGTAGATTCCCCATTTTATGGTATAACCACTGCACAAAGTGTGAGCACCCTATTTACATGTCCTGTACATGACTTTCTGAACGTGTTGGAGAAGAAGAGGGTGGGCCCCTGCAACTTACTGGAGGTGGCTTCCCCATTTCATGTTCTAGCCATTCTCCTACAGTCTCCAGACTTCATGGAGCTCAAAGTGTAGGGAAACAATGCACTGTCTTTACCACAAAGTTTAGGGGACTGTAACTGCATCATAAAGTTGAGGTAGCACACTGTTAGAGGTGAATGTCTGTGTTCTCTGTACACTGACAGTGTTGTGTTGTATGCCAATAGTAGTGAGTAATCCCTCAGGAGACAGGTCTTAGCTCAGACACTAATATGACCTCCTCTCTTGAGGAGTTCACTCTGCAGTGCGTAGCTACAGCTTTGTGATACTACTACATTGAAGCTACACACTACTCACCTAAATATCAGTGCACCTAAATATTGGATGCAGTGTATCAGCACCCTTCCTACATGGGTATTCTGAACAACGTGGTTACTATAGGCTCCTCTCCTCTGACATGTTTTCCTGGGAAGCTCTCTACCATTGCAGGTCTCTAAAGGCAGTCCAGCAAACTGGGAGAGGGTTCAAAGGACATACTCTTCCTTACTTAGTATCTGGGAGTCTACCTAGCAGGTGGGGCTCTGAAGTGTTTTTTCTAGCCCTTATCAGTTTTGCTGACCCCTTATCACATTTGTTGACATAGCAGGCTATCTTCCTGCCTGGCCTTGTCTAATCCCCCATACTATTATTTACTTTGCATTCCTCACTCTTGATACTTGCTACAAGGAAAAGCACTAAAGTGCAAACCCTCCACTAACAATGCGCACGTTTGTGGTTTTGTAAGGTAGGTGGGCTGGGCCGTGCGTCATCCGATGGAGCCAGTTGTCGCCTGACACACAGGCTAGGCTACATCTCAGTGGGTAGTGGGTCTTGTCTATTTATTGCTCGTGGTATTGTCTCTCAATGCAGTTGTTTCAGCCTTTATATTGTTGTTGCTGAATACTCAGCACTTTTATGTCATTTTGCAAACTTAAGCTGTATATAGACAAAATTTGAGCAACTGGATGAAACTTGATAGGGATTATTTTGGAATGTAGGGTCTCACAGGTTCACATATTTGTCACCCCTGTCTATAGTATGGATAGTAAGTATTACACGCTCCCAAATTTGTGAACCTTGAATTCTATTAAAACATGGTTAAATTTTGTGTTTTCTAAAATGTGCTTTGTTTTCTCAGATTGTTCTGATTTTTAGGCAAATATAGAATATGAACTTTATGACACTGTTTCATTGTGAAAGTGTATGATTTGTGAATGCCTTTGACAATGTGGTTTGTATATATGCTAACTGTACAATCTGTGTACACGTTTTGCAAACTGTGGTATATGTGGCAAGAAGAAGATAAATTGTGAGGTTAATCTATGTGAAACTCTTTTTTTGTGAAAGGCACTCTTCGGCTTGTTCGTGTAGTACTTTTGGTTAGAGTCGTGTTAGTTTGTTTTAGGGATGCTTGTGAAAATGTATTTTGGAACACGTATAGCTAGTCCAGTTTTAAACTGGTCTGGCCCGGTTTTTGTGTCTAACAGTATATACGAGATTTCTAAAAGCGCGTGATTTCCAACTGATTTCTACTGATTTCCACCTGATTTTCCAGTGATTTCTAGATTTCTTAGTTGATTTCTCGGTCTCTCGAGGGTTCTATAACTGTACACTCCCAAAAGAGGAGTTACCTTTACTGTCAGGAACAGCAGTCATGCGCCAGAGAGGCCCATAATACTGTCGCCGGCCGCCGGCCTGAGCGAGTGGGTGCGCGCCGCAGCAGGGTCAGCCTTGTAGTTTACTAGAGTGAACGGAGCTATACGGAGCATAAAAGCGGCGCGCTCACTGCAACTTGATTTCTGATTTCCACTTTTCGCTGATTTCCCCTCATTTCCAACTGGTATGAGATTTCCACCCGTTTCGGACCCCTCGATTGAACATATTGCGTGTGCTAGGGTTGTATATACGGCTTGGGAGATACACGCTCGGAAATACGGCTGGTATAAGAGTTGCTAAGGTCTATACTGCTAATGAAGTGGCCGTTTCTGTGCCTGACTTACCGTAGCTAATTTCTATATAACCGTATGAGATTTCCACCCGCTTCCGACCCCTCGATTGAACGGTCCATATTGCTTGTGCTAGGGTTGTATATACGGCTTGGGAGATACACGCTCGGAAATAAGGCTGGTATAAGATTTGCTAAAGTCTATACTGCTAGTGAAGTGGCCGTTTCTGTGCCTGACTTACCGTAGCTAAGCTCGGTGAAGGCTGGGAATCTGTCTATATTGCTATGGCTATAGGGAGATACGCACTCGGTGGCCATAACGTCGGGATCCTGAGCCACTGGTAAGAGTTGCTAGCCACAAACAAGCCATAGCAACATGAAAAGCAAAACCCTCTGCGACCTGCGCATGCACGATACTGCTAATTCTTGAATTGATGGACTGGGCCGGCTATTTGCGGTTACTCGTGGTCTTCCGCTAGTAGCCCGCGGAGAGTCAGACACGGGCTAGCTACAGTAGTAGATAGCATGACATGCCATTGGTTGTGACTTCCTGAGCCCCCAAGGTACACAGAGCGAGCGGATGAGGTCGCGGTAAGCCCAGTGCGATTATTTATTACCAGACATTACGAAATTACGTCACGTAAAATTTAACGAGGGGCCGACGTATATGTGA